CCTGACCACACGGAGCAGACCGTCCACGCAAACCAAAACTACTTCAGCAGCTCACTTCTAGTTCTGTGTGTGTGTGTGTGTGTGTGTGTGTGTGTGTGTGTGTGTGTGTTAGCAGTAACCAATCAAAACCCAGTTACAAAGATCCTTGCTCCTCCTGCGGAGGTGAACGGGCTCAGATTCGTACTTATTATTTTAAAGTCCTGATGTGTTTCCTCCTCGTAGTTCGTACAGTTGTCTCTGCATCTGTAGCCGTGGGGCAACTGGGGAGAAGGGGCTTCTGTTCCACCCGGGTCATTTACTGAAGGTCTCCTTTCCCTGGGAACATGAACGCACCACTTGAAAACAAATGTAAATTTCTTAAGAAATGCAAATGTTCTAGAAAAACGCTTTACCTTTACCATTGGAATGAGACTCTGCTGACTTCAAACACTTCCACACATTCTTGAATATATAATAATGGAGACTTTTAATGGCACCATGAAAAGTTAAGGTCAAGTTGTGTTTGGTGTCAGAAATATGAAAACAGAAAAGACAAAACAAAAGATAAATCTTGGTCAAATATTTAAAGGAAACTAACTTGACTGAGTGACTGATTCATATTGACATTTTTTTATTTAGGAAATACTTTTCATCCTGTGGGAGTAAATTGTAATAAATTAAAGATCTTTATTTAATAATAATTTATATTGACTTGTTTGTTCAGACCAAACTGGAGCTGTAAATGGAAGTTGATTATGTTGGTCTAATTTAGAGTAGACTGGAGCTGTAAATGGAAGTTGATTATTTTGGTCTAATTTAAATATCACAGTGTCTTTTTATCATTAATCTTTAGATTCAAACATTTAAAAATAAAAATCAAACAAAGTATTATCCTCAGACAGACCTGGTCGATACGACCCACCATATCTATCTGGATGTTTTAGCCTTGAATTAACACTTATTAAAACATTATTATTTATACTACATTAAAATAATCTTGTTTTTAAACATTCATGTCAAAGGTTGAAATCACAACTAAATTAATTTATCAAAACTATACTTATTGAACACTTTTTAAGCAGTGACACAAACATCTCACAGCAAATAAAGTGCCTTTATTTACATGATGTCACACAGGTAATAAATTAAAACACCAAAATGAAGTCTAGCCGCCTAATAAGAAATCAAATGGTGAAAATGAAAATTCTCCTGCAGGTTTAGATTGTCGTCCACTCACTGAAGCCGCTGTGTTCCTGCAGACGTGACGTCGTCCTGTAGTGAAATAGAAAACGCCAGACCCCTTTGATCCAGGGCCGGTTGTTTGGCCACTTTCTTTCCACTATGTGGCGCCGCCCGGTTGTGCGTTTGAGTTTCAAGCACTCTTCCATTTCTAACGGGTGGCGTCTGAAATCGTGACATCAATTCCATGTACTGTTACCTTCTGTGCTGATACTTGTTTGGCGTTCGTACCTGAACCACTGCCAGACGTGGAGCCTGCGCTTGTTTTCCTTGGAATGAAGTCTGCGTTTGTCTGAGCTCTGCTGCTACGGGCGGTTGGGTGGACGGCGTTGGACGACGTTGGACGCCTCGTGGTGGTGTGCGTGTAACAAGGGCTGCTTGTTTTATCTCTCTGTGTGCAGAGGTGGGGAGGGTGAGAAAAACCTGTATCCAGTGGCCACCACTAAAAGCAAACAAATGAATGTGTACTTGAATATTGACTCCGTGGTCATGGTACAGATCCAGCAGAAATGAAGGAACATTGTTAGAGTTGGAGATTAAAACACTCACAGAATCCAGGAAGAGCGCTGTGTAAAATGGTTCCTTCCTTCCCACTGCTGTCGGAGGATTAGTTCCGACCTCCTGCCTGAGAGGTGGGCCCAGGTTTAGCACAGCTTTTCTAAATCAATTACTCTGCCTGTTAAATTGGGCTTTTACTGCAACAGCACACTGATTTTCATTGTCGCTCTCACAATCTTTTCACCTCTGAGTGTCGTCTCCGACGGTGTCTCCCAGTGTCGGGTTTGAGATCATTTCACCTCTTTTCTCTCCATCCTTCTATCTGTAGCTGTTAACTGGAAGCAGGGCGAGGAGAGGCGGCGTGCTAGTGCCATCTGTTGGCTGAAACCTGCCTGTACTTCCTGGTGTTCCTTCTGTGGTTTTACTTTCTCCTCTTGCCTTTTATATAAAAGTGAAATGAATTGTCTTGTCAAATGTCCTCTGCTTTGTTTACGGGATGATTTGACCTTCACGAGGACAAGGACGCCGTTGATGATGAATTACCGTCATCTTGTTTGTGTGAAAGCAGTGACATTTCATCCTCCGTCAACACTGGCTTGTTGCTAATGATGATGTCACTGCCCGTATTTACCTCACAAGTAAACGTTCATGAAAAACCTGCTCATTACTCAACCTGCTCGAAGTGTGAAAAGAACCCACGTTGGCACCAGAGCGTTGACGGATCTGAGACGGCGCTGAGTTCATGAACTCAGTGGAGCGAAGCGTGAATATTCAGGTTTTAAAATACGATCAATCAATCAATCAATGAATCTCCGTCTCATTCATCGGCCATCTAAGACTCATTAGTTGGTTAATTATTATTATTAATATTAGTAGTAGTAGCTGTACACATCTAAGACTCATTAGTTGGTTAATTATTTTTATTAATTTTAGTAGTAGTAGCTGTACACGGTACAGTACAGAAGATCTCTGGACGCCATTGGTCGACCTCTGCCGTCCGTTCAGACGTTTCGCCGCCTGGATCAGTGAGAGAAGGAGCTGCTGCGCGGCGTCACGTCTCAGACAGATTGTTAATGCTGCATGAAATTCTGCAGCAGTTATTTCTCTCAGTAATGACCTGACTGTGCCAGGCTTGATGATGCACGGGGTCAGATGAAAGTAATGTCTGTCTCAATGACAAGTACAGACGCACAGAGTAAACAAGGTGCTGGCTTTAATGAAGAGAAGAAGAAGAAGAAACATCTGTTTCATTTTAAATGTTCCGTTCACACCAGCCGTCTCTAAGGCTCCTTCAGTAACTGCTGTAAAATGTATTGACACACACACACACACACACACACACACACAGTATTTAAATATTTCACATTTGTTCCTTATAAAAACTTTGTGTTTCCCTCAGAACATCACCACTGACTCTGGTCAACACTGACTCTGGTCACACACTGACTCTGGTCAACACTGACTCTGGTCAACACTGACTCTGGTCACACACTGACTCTGGTCAACACTGACTCTGGTCACCACTGACTCTGGTCCCCACTGACTCTGGTCCCCACTGGCTCTGGCCACCACTGACTCTGGTCCCCACTGGCTCTGGCCACCACTGACTCTGGTCCCCACTGACTCTGGTCAACACTGACGCTGGTCACCACTGACTCTGGTCACCACTGACTCTGGTCCCCACTGGCTCTGGCCACCACTGACTCTGGTCCCCACTGACTCTGGTCCCCACTGGCTCTGGCCACCACTGACTCTGGTCAACACTGACTCTGGTCACGGCGGTGAGTAACATCTCCATGACATTTGACTTTTCCAGCTGTAATGGAGGGAATAAGGGAAATGAATGGGATTTATGGTCTCCCAAACACTCCCCCCCCCCACTCCGTCCCTCCCCCCCTCCGTCCCTCCACCCTCCGTCCCTCCCCCTCTCCCACACTCTCTTATCTGTGCAGTTTTGCAGAAAGGTTTTTTCCAAAAAGTATTCTTTCAACAAATATTGAGCCTCAAACTCTGATCTGAGCTCTGATCTGAGAAGAGGAAGAAGAAGGAGAAGAAAAAGAAGAAGAAGAAGGAGAAGAAAAAGAAGAAGAAGGAGAAGAAAAAGAAGAAGAAGAAGGAGGAGAAGAGCATTTAAATCAGACTAGATTTTTTGTTGGGTAAAAGATTGATGCTGATTGGTCAGGAACTTGGCAGTGTTTTTACATTCATGTTGTTTAAAGACACGTTGTTGTTATTGTGTCACTGAGGGCTCTGTCAACACGACTGAGACATGGGTATGTGTGTGTAAAGAAGCCTCTCTCTCTCCCCCTCTCTCTCTCTGCCCCCCCCCTTGATTGTGCTCCACTGCAGATATCTGCAGGGCTTCCTGTTCCACTATCAAACATTTGTTTGTTCTCATTATCATAAGACATTAATCCTGACACACTCACGGCCTCCGCCTGCTCCAGTCACACACACACACACACAAACACACAAACTGTGTTCATTATTCATAGGTTGATCAGATGGAATGTTTGATAAGGTTTGTAGCTGCTTTGGCCTGAGAGAGAGAGAGAGAGAGAGTGAGGGGGAGAGAGAGAGAGAGAGAGAGATAATAATTAATGTCTATCAAAAGAACAACATTTGTTGGACAAGATCAACAACATCTGTGCCTTTAACCACAGCCGCCCGCTCACAGGTAACAGACCTGTCCACAGACCTGTCCACAGACCTGTCCACAGCTTTGTCCACAGCTCTGTCCACAGACCTGTCCACAGCTCTGTCCACAGCTCTGTCCACAGCTCTGTCCACAGACAGAAAGTTGTGATTACTTCAAACCAAAAGTCCGACCCCAGTTTAAAGGTGTCTGTGCGAAGGCTTTTATTTCAGTTTTTTTCTTGGATCAAAATGAAAAGCAACGATTCATTTGAAAGGTTTTATAAAATTGGAGCAAAGATTTCACTTTTAAACAAACTTGAATAAAACCTTGAAACTTCCCGACAGTTTTGGTCCATTCTGTTCAATGTTTTTTTTGTTCCCAAATCTAAAAGAAAATTCAAAATGAAATCTGTCCTTAGAAAAGAAAGAAACTCACCTGTGATTTATTATTTTAACAATAAAATCATTCTTTAATACAATTGGACTCAACAAAAACATTTGTTTCTTCTCACGTCTTCTGTGGAAAAATAAACCCTGACAAATGTGTAACTATTACAAAGTAAATACTTCATCATGGAAGAAATACTGCATCCAATCAGCAAAAACAAAGATGAATTTTAACCACTTGTCTATATGTGTTTTTACAGGCAGAACAGGTCTTCAAGAGGGAGTCCACACCCCCTAGTGGACCATTGAGGTGATGCAGATGTTTTTATTCTTTCTTTAGTCACAAATTTAAATATATGTTATACACAATAAATACGACACATATATTTACATGTTTATGTTACTGTAACACAAAACAGCATAAAACCCAACATCAAAATACACCCCCTCACCCCCCCTCACCTCCCACCCCCAATACACATCAATCACAACCAAGTAAATTGAATTTCAAAAACACTAACTCTGACAAAGACATCTCGTCCCACTCTGGTGCTCAGCGGTTCTCTGCAGTGCAGTACAATCACGAATGATCAAAGAGTCTGCGGTGTCAAAAGAGAGGGACAGGACGTGCGTTGTACACGAGATGAGGGGGGGGGGGGCAGGAGAACACACTGCTCTCAATCAGGCTTTCAGTTCAACTTAGTGAAGCTGGCGTCACGGGGGCGTCAGTGGATGTTGGAGCTCACCTGGAGGATCGTCAGTCGTCTTTGTTGTCGATCCTCAGCTTAGTTGTTTCCTGATTCAGGGAAGTGACATGAAATCAAGAGAAGAAGAGAAGATGACTCACTGTAGAGGCACATATTTATACATATAACACAAAATATTCACTTGGCAGCATGTTTTAGGACATGTTCTTGCATTTTAGTGCATTTCGGGGAGTTTTTATTTTTATGGATTTTTTCACGATGGTAAGGCTATAGTAAGGTGTGTTTTGGGTGATTTTTGCAAAAAAATAAAAAGTCCCAGAAATGCCTTAAAATGCAAGATTATGTCCTAAAAAAACTCCAAAAAGTATTTTACTTTCTTATAAAATGAGGGCATCTAGAGAACATTTTTTAAAAATTCATTTGTTAGAATGTCAAAATTTGAACTTTTTGAGTCATTTTTTTGGTAAAAATCTAAACATTTTGACAAAAATAGTTGTAAAATTATTTTTCAAAATTTTGTCTTTTCTTGCACATTTCTCATAAATTTAGGGACTCTTTTTAGAAATGTATGTGTTAGATTTTTCTGTTGTAATTTGAACTTTGTGTCATTTACTGGTCAAAATAACATAAGAAAACTGGTTCTTGTTTTTTCCTAAAAGTTCTTGATCCCAGAGTCAGAGTAGATTTTCTCCACCCTCAGCTCCTCACTGCCCCCACACTGTATGATCCTTGATGATGACGTCATCTCCTCCACAACAACTTCAATGGACCACGACTTTGAGGTCAAAGACGTTGTATTTTATTCAAAATTGAAAACTGACAAAAACGAACAAAAAGCGCTTTAGAATATTTAGATTTACATGAACAATCCACACAGTACATACACACAGAGTACACACAGTACATACACACAGAGTACACACAGTACATACACACAGAGTACACACAGTACTTGGACACTTGTATTGTAACTCCAGCCACAGGAAGAGGTGAAAATCAGACAACGATTCTTCTGACAGTGTATATTTGACACAGATCTCTCTCTCTCTCTGTCTGTGTGTGTGTGTGTGTGTGTGTCACAGGTTCATATTTATGACATTAGCACAGCATTAGCGTATTAAAGAGTTAGCTTCAGCTTTACGAGAGCTCAAGTAAACGACCCAGGAATTAGTCTACAGTTAAAAACAAGTGATGTGAGAAAATAGGGTTTAAATGTCAATATCTTCATGCAGGGCCACACAGGGCCACCAGAGGGCCACACAGGGCCACCAGAGGCTCAACAGCTGAAGGACGTCAGGCGTCTTCTCAGGTTTGAACTCTCTTCAAGATGAGACTCTGTGTTTCATTTGATGTTAAACTAAAACACAACATATTCCTCATGTTCGTTGTCCATTTGTCAACCGTCCCTTTGACCTGGTCAGATATTGATCTGACCAGGTGGTTCAAAGATGAACCAAACAGATGTGTTCAAACTATGGTGTAGAGACACGGACTGCACATAGAAAACTAATATATATCTGTATATATGTGTCTCTGTGTGTGTGTGGATTAAATGATTATTATGACATTAAACCCCTATATAAAGTACATGTATATGTATGTATAGATATACATAGATATATAAATAAAATATTCAATTCCACAATACAGACTCTCCGATGGTTCAAAAATGATTATATATTTACTCGATAGGATTTAAATATATATTTATGTATATATGTATTTAATGTATATTTTCCATCTATCCTGTGCGAAGGTCCTGTCTCTTCTCTGCCATCTACCGTCAGCCATGAGAACAACACCACACGGCTAAAGACACTGCCAGCCATGCCCTGCCTCTAAAAACAAACACCAGTTGTTAGCATTTCCATCGCTCACACCAAGATCGAGTCGATAATATTCTGTCGTGGAATTCTTTGCTGATTGTTCTTTCTGTAGACATCGCCCGTTTTTCTTTAAACACATAAATATATAGACCAGACGAGGAGGAGAGAAGATGCCGGAGCTGGAGAGAAGCTGTGGCGCTGTTCAGCTGATGAGCGCGGTGATGCTGCCGCTGCTGCTGCTGCTGTCGATCTCCGGTAAGAAACCAAAGACCGCGGGAGTCATCGATTCTCTGCTGCACAGACACAACACGATCAACAGTTCGATGAATTAAAGACCGCAAGTAAAACAAGTCCTTCGTGTGTGTGTGTATGGGGGGGGTTAGGGGGGGTGCGTGATAGTGGGCGTTATATGATATGATGCCATTATCTGATCGTGCTTTTCTGTTGAAACAACACTATCGTGGTTTCTCTGGGGTCAGATTTCTGACTCCAGATCAGTGTTTAGTGTCGTCAGCTGACAGACAGACGTCGTATCACCGGCCTCTGAACAGTGTTATGATGCACCGTATACAAATCAATACTGCTCACTCAGCGACAGTGTCCAGTAGGGCTCTCTCTGTGTGTGTGTGTGTGTGTTGGGGGGTGGGGGGGCACAATAAAAATGGAGTTCTCCAATATTCTGGGCCTGGCGTGTTCAAACCTACGACAGAACAGCCATTATGAGTGATGTGTTTGATCAGAGAATCGGGGCTAGAACAAGAGTCACGTCTGTAACTCCAGAGCATTAGCCTGACAGGTCAATCTGCAGTAAGAATATCTCAACATCTACGTCACATCTGTGTCAAGTCGACAACTGACGAAAACGTACCGTGTGCAGGATTTACGTACTTTGCTTTAGCAAACCGTAGCTGCGCTGCCAAAGGTGTTGTAGAAGAAAATGTGAGTGAAACGTCTGCGATGAGGCTCTTTCCCAGGTTAAATAAATAAAAGCACAAACACAGAAACACACCGAGTTGTTAGTCTGGATTTAAAACGTCTGTACCGAGAAATAACACTAAAATATGATACAGAATATTTACGGTTTATTATTGTGGCCTGTAGGACAATTGTTTTTAGGGATTCTTGTTGCAGTAACACTGGTGTCCACTGGGGGGATTTAAATGCACTGTGGAGCATGTGTGCATACATTTTTATTATATTCTAGTTTTAAAAAATCAATGACGTCAGAATGAATAATGACGTGGAGCTGGAGGAAGTTTCCTGCTTCCTGTTTCACCAGAATCTTTCGACCGGGGACGAAACTGACAAAACAAAACCACCATCCTTTAATAAAAAAATCATTCCTTTTAAAACCACAGTTACCACAACGAAGCACTAGAGGGCAGCAGCTCACTAGGAGATGATATAATGCAGCTGCAGTCCAACATAGCACTGTAGTTAACAAATAATGTTGTTTATCTAATCTTTAAATGACACGTTTGTCCGTTGACGTCAGTTTTTGTTTTTGCCACGTCATTCTTGTACTTATTTTGACCAAAACCACAATAATAATAATTCTCCAGTCATGTTAAAAACACAGCAAGAAGAAAGAACCAAAACAAAGATCGAGTTTGGACCAAACCTAGACTGGACCTGAACCTCGGATGGTTCAGCTGTTCTAGTGAAAGTCTTGACTCACGCTGGTCCAACTTAGTCCACCATGGAGCTCCACGTGGTCCTGGAGGTTATGAGGTGTTTTGAATGAGTTTAAACATGTAACGAAAGAGTATGACTGTAAAGTTTTGGGCCAACACTGCCCTCTACTGGTGACATCTGAGCTGACGTGGTTCAAGTTTCTCTGATCTTAATGTGTTGCTGGATCTTTACACTCCTTCTGATGGACTAATGGACATCTTAACACACTCAGCTGGAATGGCTGTGCCATGCCAGAGTGGGTCTGCACACTGCATCTGTGTGTGTGTGTGTGTGTGTTTGATGCAGAGGCAGAGAGGAGGAGGTGGAGCTCCATCTGCTCCATGTTCTCCTGGTTGCTCTGTGTTTCCAGTATTGATCAGGGCTGAGGTTTTACAGGAAGTGACATGAGGTCAGTAAACAGCATTAGGCCTGTGGTCAGCTGCTGGCTCTCTATTGGTCACTACACTGTAACACACTGTAACACGCTGTAACACGCTCCCTGTCTTTAAAAGGACACTGGTCCAGGACAGAAGTGTCTCAGGAAGATGTTTGTTGTTAAACTTTGATAGAAAATAACTGTTGTTGTTTGGTTTGTTTTTATTAGTAGTATTATTTAAATCACAGGACTCTAACGCATCTCATCTAGTAAGGCAACAACGAGGTCCACTGGTCCATGACCTATGTGGAATGAACAAAATACATATGGTACTATCGATGTAGGATTTTAAACTGCAGGTACTTTGCACGACTACAGTTCTTTTTAATGATGCAGTACCAACCTGTACCTCTAGGGTTAAAAGCATCAACGGCTGAAATCTGTGTGAAAATGTGATCGTGCAGAGTCGCTTTAACAAAAGTGGTTTGGTGAAGCAGTGATGTA